ATTATGTATGTGTGTATGTATGTGTGTATATATATATATATATATATATATATATACTTATGTGTGCTTGAGTGAGTGAGTGAGTGAGTGTGTCTGCGTGTGTGTGCGTGTGTGGGTACTCGTACACACACGTGTGAGTATGTATGTATGTGTGTGTGTGTATGTGTGTGTGTCCGTAGGTGCGTGTGTATTTGTGTGTCAGTGAGCGAGAAGGTGTGTACACGTACAGACATGTCCATTGATCAACATGCTCATTTGAAACAACATCACAAAATTGCAAAAATGCCTTCTAAGACCTTGACAACATCATGCACATGGGATTAGCTGTCATACTATGACAATACTAGGAAGAGTGAACGACGATTGTGTACAATATTTGCTATAGGCCAGAAATACGGTCACAAGTCTAAGTACTTTGGATTATAAACTTTCTTAGAATAAGTTTAATAAATAAATAACACCGTGCGCTCGCGTACCTGGCACTCTGTCGAGCAATAGAACCGCTTCGACCCACAAGGACACTGACATTCAGCCGGTTCATTGCACACGCAGCAGATTTTGCTTGTCAGACTTGGTGGCGAGACAGACGACATAGTCTCCGGCCTTCTTATCGTGCAAACAAACAGGTGCTTTCAAGTTGAGAGAAACAGAGATGAGATATCTCGTATCGTCAGTTTCTGACTTTCAAATGACGACGTGTATGAAATATGTTTTAGGTATCTTTGTATTGGCACGTTTTATACACGATATTTTATATTTACCATGATGGCAATGTATTTTAAAATTCATTTCGAAAGTCAAAGAAGGGGGGGGGGGGGGTTTACTCCAACAAAAACAAACGTGTGACGACTGACGACTGACGAGGCAGAGCAGACATTACACCAAGGCCTATTTATAACTATCTTCTGCGCCGAAACTATCTATCTGTCCTCGAATAAATCTATCTGTCCTTGCTTCTATAATAAGCTTCGAGTTCTGAAAGGGGTTTCTATATTTCTCGTTACAAACATGACTTAATATCGTAATAGAAATTCGTGATATGTATATAGATGGCTCAAGATTCTAAGTTGCAACCTTCGTCGCAACAATATGTTAGAAACTTGGAATACATAATTTACAGTAATACATTAGGATACAGAGGCGCCAACAGAACATTTTAAGTAAAACAACCCCGTATGGTCGTCGTCTATTTGTTATGTACTGTGGAGTACATAATACAATACCATCTTCGCAAATTGAATGTCTCCCTGGCTTTGTGTATTTATAGTCCCATTAATCTTGTCGCGCAAAATGTGTATTTACTGGGAAGCTCCTAGATACTGATTGGAGTATATCCAATTTTCATGTAGTTGCAATTCCCATTTTTGGCCCTCTCGCTGAATCGGTATGTAAGGAGTGACACTTCGAATCGCACCCTGTGATGATTCAACCGCTTTCGTTCGATACTATCTTCATCTCTCAATAAGAGTTTTTTTTTTCACTTGTCATTTCCGTTATCGTATATAACAAATCTATCGTATATTATCCGCTGATCGAACTATTCAATATAAACGAATATATTCCATCTCAGCAAGTTAGAACTCAAATTATTAAATATCTCCGTTTCATAATGATAAAGCACGGTCGATATTTTCTACCATGGCATACACCTTCAACATTCCGTTTCAGTGACATGGATACACTGCGAGTGTAAATATCAATTATGCTCCGATTACCATTAATCAATTCATGCTTCGTAATTTCTTCTAAGCTGCACTATATTTGATCAACCGCTTCTTAATACTAGAAGGGTAGAACTCGCCTTTTAAGTGCTAAAGGCTCAAGCGTGTTCTGGTAAAATACAAAGTCCCCATTTAACGCCTTATTAATGCGTCATAGAATGAGAATTTTATGGAAAACAACCACGATATCGTGGATATTATGCTACTACAGCAATGTATTATTTTATGGCGTCCTTGAAAGGGATGGGCTGTACTTGTGCGATCGTAAACATATAGAGCGCCAGAATTTGATCACACTTTCTTTTTCTCCTCTTGACACAAGTCAAATAAAGGTGCCTCGCAGCCCCAACCCAAATTGTTCTTCAGGAGATTAATCTAACATCGCTTATTGTATAATAAAGGTGCATACACAATACTTTTGGAACTGACGTCTGAGTGTGATTCGCAAGGAAGACCCAAATAAAAGTAAATCTGGCCTTAGTAATAGCCAGCTTGGAGTATAATGCTTCATTATACGTGGCTTTTCTCAGCACGCTTTGACTTGATAATTAATCAGTCTTGAGGAGGGGGGGGTTTTTTTTGTCATGTGTTCTGACTGTTCTGCGCAGCTGAAAAAAAATTGTTTACGAAAAAAAAAAGAAACAAGGGATTCAGACTTTAGAGTCTCAGAGATTCTGGGAACCAGCCAACCAGCCAACCAGAGAGAATGAGCCTATGAGGGATCTCATAAATATATTAATAGTAGATCGATCTATTCTGGAGTAAATTCTTGTAAATTATTCACGTGTGCGCCTGACGCCTGTGCGGTGTGTGTGCACATCCAGTTTTATGCCGTGAACGTCAACTATCACCACTTCTCAAGTTCTCTCTCTATTTTTCTTCCACTGCTATTCTCTAGAGAGAGAGAGAGAGAGTGCTACGTATGAATTCAGAAATGTGCATATACGACTTGTAAACATGAAAACCTATATGAAAGCGTCAGGCTCAAGATGGCAGACGTAGGAGTCGGGCGTACTGGCGACAATTTTATTCTTTTTTAAAGTATTCTTGTTATAATGTTATTACAGCGGACCTAACAAGCACTTTGTCAGGCAAAGGCACAAACTATCTTTATACGGCTCCGACACGCAATTCGTGGATAGAATGTGACTATAGACAATCTTTGCCAGTTTCTCAATATCGTTAGCTCTGCTCTTTATATTTTACAAAGGTTTATATCGATAATATTTGGTCCTCCCGACCAATTGCACCGTAGAGTACAGGAAATATTAAGACCACTGGAAGTTTGTTCCTTGTCCGTGGTCACTTTCAGAATTTCGCACCACGTCTACGACTTTGATTTTGCCTACAGTATGGCAAAATCAGAAGAGCAATAATGATTGAGCTTCGAAACAGTTGCAAATATTTGCACACCACGCAACGTGGTGGCTCACTCAGCATTGAGACACAGCTCGAATTTGGTTATATACCTGTCTACGCTTCTATATATAGATATATATATATATATATATATATATATCTATATATAGTATATATATATATATATATATATATATAATATATATATATATATATATATATATATATATATATATATATATATATACTACTATACTAACTACTAACTAACTAACT